TTTTTCTTGCATAATGCCTTTCATCTGCTATCCTTCCTTTCCTTTCTCGTGGGTTTTCAAGAGTTATCTCTAGCTAAGCTCTTCCTATAAACCTCTCCCACAAACTAATTTTCTCCCCACTCTGCTCTTCTGACTTGGTGCCTTTCCTTTTTACTTGCTTTGCCTTCTCAGTTTGCCTATTAAAATCCCACCATACTGTTAAAGTCAGTGTCAATCCTACCAATGTTCTGAGGACGATCCAGAAAACTCAAACTGGAAACCATCTGTCCTCCTTTTAAATCCTTGTAATTTCTATCAGTTCCAATCATCTCAGTCCTTAAACCATAAAGATCGAGTTCCTAAATTTACAAAGAAAATATGTACCAATTCCACTTCCCTTCAACAAGATGGACAGAAAACAAACAAGGAAAGTTTCCGCCCTGATTTGGAAGGTAGAGATGTCATTGGTGGAAGCTGGACTCCTTCCTGGGAAAGGGCCGTAGCCATGCGGCCTGGCCCCGCTTGTTGCCAGAGGACATTAGGAGTGGAGAAGCCAGTGTGAACTGTTCCCATATATTCATCCAATAATATTGGAGTGTTCAGTGTGTGCCAGGCAGTGAACAAGGGAGGCTTAGCTTACTCTCAGAGACCCACAGAAGAGTCCAGTCACATAAGGTAGGGAAACTACACTGTGGCAGTCTCTGGAAATTCATATGGACACTGTCAGAGGAAAGTCCCTGAAAAGTCTCACCATTAAAAAACATACAAGAAATCCTATTGTGTTTAATATTATTGCACAAACTAATTTGGCCACAGTATCCCTCCCCTACTTTTGTCCTGGCAAAATCTATTGCTATCCCATGCAGTTCTGTGCGACACACTTTGGGAAATGCTGTGTAAGATTAGTTTAAATGCCGAGAAAGAAATGCTCAACTTGGGAGTGAAAAAAAATATTGTTATATACTTGGAGATTTGAGTAGAGGGGACTCTGGGAAAAGAACAACTGAAAAGAGTATGGGAGTTTGGGTGGTGTGGGCAGGGAAACATTTCAAAAGTTTCAATCCTTTTTAAGTGTTTTTTTCTCAGACCTTAAGAGAGTAGTAGGAAAAGTGACTTTTAAGTTTTCCACATGCTCTTCTCCTAAGCCTCACTACAAGTCTGTCCCCAGCAAGGTGACAGCTTGACATACGGAACTCTAAGCTGGCTCGCCCTTCTTCTACAACTCTCCTTTACCTTAGCATTTTGAGGGAAAGAAGCTACTGAGTTCATTCATGTTTAGTTTGCATTAAGGCTGCAACAATAATATCCCAAACTGCTAATACTCAATCCTGGAGTTAAATTTTACATTAAGGCAAAAAAGTCAGAGAATATGATTTTGATTGCATAAAGTGTATTACTATAGTGGTGCTTTAAATTGCAGGAGCTTCGAATATGACAAAGCTCAGTCTATAATGTGAAAGCATGGTGTTGCTCCAATGAATTCACTCTTGCCATCCTTATATGGACAGCGATGGGAACCCCCAGAGGCCTGCATTGTCCAAAGGCTTAAAAGAAATGCATTTTTTCTCATATGTCTGAGATATTTCCTAACAAGCCAAACCAAAAGTATTCCATTGAGCCTAAATGAAGTTATTGAGTATGTGCCAGGGCTATTCCAAAGCGTGTATGCAGTGCACAACTGGCAGCATCCTGTGTAATATGAGAGCCTCAAAAGCTACCAATGAAAACAAACTCAGGAAGACCAATCTTCCCTGAGAACCTAGCAGCACAGGCCTTCCTCACCAATCTTGCGACAGCATAGTGTTTGCTGCCCAACAATTAAGACAACTGAGTTTCCGAATGTCAGCTCTCACACATATATTTTATGGTAAAATTAACTGGTGCGGTAAAATAATCCAAAGAATCACAGTAAGTAATACATATTTTAGTGTACAGTGTGTGGTTTTCTTAAATATATTTATATTTAAGAGAGAAAGGGGAGAGAAATACAACGATGAGAATCATTGATCAGCTGCCTCCCGCATGCCCCCTAATGGGGATCGAGCCCGCAACCCAGGCATGTGCCCCTAATCAGAATTGAACCCGGGACCTCTCAGTCCGCAGGGCAACTCTCTATCCACAGTGTGTGTCTTTTAAATTTATGAAATATGTAACAGAAATTTATTAATGGAACCTTGTTTCATATTTTTTTGGCCTTCCTATGATGTATAGAATTTTTATGAAATATTTTGATGGCTTTAATTGGATGAAATTTCTATTATTTTCACAACCTAGGAAGCAGTTTTAAAGTCTGAGAAATAGTAATTTTAAAGCTTTGACTCAATTTATACTAAAGAATTTTTAGTATCTCTTGAAGGCGGATATTCTTCAGAATAGTATGCCTTTCCTCCACCAAAGTGCAAACACTTTAAAAAATTATGTACTGTTAGCGTGGCTCAGAAAAGTAGGTACTTTCATGCATTGTTGGTGGAAATGTAATTTGGGACATACTTTTTGAAAGTTGGTTTGGAGACACACATAAATACATATGTGCATGCACGTGTCATATATATGTGCATCGTATATATGTGTGTACTAGTATATATATGTATAAATACACATGTGCATGCATTTATACATATGTAGTTTGGACCATTTTCCTAAAGAAATCTTAGAAAATGTTATATATTATTATAGAGATGTTCATTACATTTTTATAGGTGTTTCTAGGTAAAACATAGGAGCAACTTAAATGCTCAGGCTTAATGGAACAATTGAATAAATTATATTCATACAATGAACTACCATGTATCCATTAAATCATATGGAAGAATAGCAAATGACTTGTTAAAGTGTTGATATATCCTAAAGACTATTGCATAATGCTGTGCACAGCATAATAATGCCATGTTTATGTGTTCAGAAAAAAAATGCTAAAAGAATATTTGCCTAAATATTAACAATGACTATACTTGAGCGATGGACTTATAAATGGATTTTTATGTTTTCCTATAAAATGTTCCCTGTCTTCCAAGTTTTCTGTGGCAATGTGTATTTATACTATGTTCTTTTCTGACTTTTTTATAGTAATAAAATTCTGGAAACAAGTCAAATGTGCATCAGGGAATTGGTTTTAAAAAATAGTGCATTTGTGCAGGGAAATATTGTACCATTTTAAAAATCTGGCTCTTAAAAATATTTAAGAATGAATAAGAAATGCTTATAATAAGTTAAAAAGGTATATAGATGGATTGCCATTTTGATCGCCTAGAAAAATATTAGAATTACATTAACATGTTAATGGGTTACAAATGAATGGTGGAAGTATTTATTGGTTCTTTTGATTTTCCTTTTTAATAATTTTCTATGCATTCAACATATGTAATTTTTATAAACAGAAAAATGTAAAAAATAAAGAAGTTTGGTTACTATTAAGATACACCATCTATAGGAGCATGATTCCTTCACACTGGCATTTCTACCCAATGTATCAGTGTACTACACAGTAAGATAGGGATATTTAAATATTTTATTTTACTACTTGGGTCTCTCTGACAAACAGAAAGAATTTTGGGCAAAATGTTCCCTTTGCCCTATAAGATACTTAGAACAACATGGGAAAGGGATGTATAGTGAGCTGGCCCCAGGTTCACATTTCTGAACTGTGATACTACGGTTTCTTACTCATTTACCTGTTCAGAATCTAAGTAAGCAAAGGTCAAAGCAGTTTCAAGTTCAGTGACACTTCAGGTGTAGCCTTCCTCCTTGATACAAGAGCCACACCCACAGTGTGAAGGTTTTTTAAGATCATTGAGTTTATACCTTTAATACAACTCTAGTGGCAGCCTCTGATTGATTGTCAAGGCAAGTAACATCTTTGTTGGACTCAGGAAATGAAGTTGTGTACACACACACACACACAGACACACACACACACACACACTTGGAAGACTGTGGGGAAGAAAATGTTTTTATGTCCTTAACTATATATCTTTAATGTTCACACACACACACACAGACACACACACACACACACACTTGGAAGACTGTGGGGAAGAAAATGTTTTTATGTCCTTAACTATATATCTTTAATGTTGCAAAAAGCTTATAAGGCATTCCCATGCATATTGCATCATCAGCAATAAGTCCAAAGATGTATCTATGTGCTGCCACTGATGTGTGGACTCAGTATTTATTGAAAGCTTATCTGTAAATGATTCTGGCTAAATGAGATAAAGGACGAAGTCCTGCCTTCATTCCTAGATGGAGTCACAAAAGACAACTCCATGAATTTTACATACTCTTTCCATGTCTTTTCTCTAGTAAAATAGTCAAAATTATAATTGACACGTACTGACTTTCACTTAAATTGAGTGTAATAGCATTTTAAAGGTTCCGTTTAAAAATCATCGCCATGGGACCCACGAATATCGCCAGTGAAATTTGCCAAATACATGTATTTCAAAAATCTGAGTTAGTTTATACTAAATATTAAGGATCTGGCCCTGGCCGGCGTGGCTCAGTGATAGAGCGTCAGCCGGAGAACAAGGGTGGCGGGTTCGATTCAGGTCAAGACCAGGTACCTGGGTTTCGGGTTCCCCTCCCCGACTGGGGCACGTGCAGGAGGCAACTTGTGAATGTGGCGGCTCTCACATCGATGTTTCTCTCTCTTTTCTCCCCCCTCCCTTATTCCTCCAAAATCAATGGGAAAAAAAAATCCTCCAGTGAGGTTTAACAGAAATAAAATAATAAAAAGGACATGGTTTAGCATATAATAGTTTTTCCAAAGGAACAAAAGCCTTACACTGATTTTTCTTTTTTTTACACTCTGTGCAGTTCACTCAAAACTTTCAAATGTTATGGTTCTGAACAGACCCCAGGGCAAGACTTTGTGCCTCCCAGAAAAACAGGCAGCGTGGACGTCCAGGATACACAGCAGACCAACAAACGAATGAAAAGGTGGAAAGCGGAAAAGAAAGAAAAAAAGAAACGGAAAGCAAGCATGTGCGTCGAGGGGACATAGAGCAAAAATTAATATTTACTTGATCTGCCCGTTCTCCACGTAGGTCGTCCTATAAAAGCCCACGAGCGAGCCGTTCAGCTGGCCGGCGAACTCCAGGGTCAGGAGGTAGAAGGGCCCCTCGCCGCGGGTCGGGGCCAGCTCTGTGTCGGCCTCCACCACCACGTACTCCTGCTTTCGGTACTCGAAGCAGCGCTGCACTCCCACCGCCGCCCCCGAGGGCCCGCGCAGCACGGGGAGCCGGCTGATCTTGGTCTCGCGGAGGTGCAGCCACAGGTGCCGGGTGGGCGCGCTCACGTTGATGGCGATGGTCACGGTGCCCGTGTACGTGTCCTGCTCCAGCACCGGCTTCACCTCCAGGTCGTAGTGCACCGGGCTGATGGAGTCCGGGAGCCTGAAGTTCTTCCAGCCCCCACTCTCATCCTCGCTGGCGGGGCAGACCCCCTGGTCCTGGGGAGGGCCCGAGGTGGGAGGCCCCTGGGTGGGGGGCCCCTGGGTGGGGACCTTTTCCACGGGGTCACACGATCTGGTCAAGCCAACAGCGAGTCCTACGATCAAGCCTACACCCACCACCACCGCGCAGATGATGGCCACATGTTTCCCTCTAATGCAGTATCTCTTGGAGTCGTCTCCCTCCGCAAAGTTCATTGTTGTTTCCAAAGACAAAGGCTGCTCCCGAAAGGATGTTAAAACTAACTGGCGGACGTCAGCAGACTTCCTTTTTTTAAAATGGGGGGAATGCCCTGGTTTGGGCAGCCTGTTTTCACTTTCCCCACACCTCTCTCTGGCTTCTCTCCCTGCACGTTTCCCCCAGCCACTCAGGGATGAATGCGGAGGAGGGGCGGGGTGGGAGAGGAGCTGAGCGGGAGGGAGAGGACTGACGAGGAAATTGTCCCCGCTGCCTTATAAGCAGTGCACCCCCACCCCACCCCTCGGGCGCTGGAGGGAGTTAAATATAAAACAGGGCTTAGCTTATCAGCCAGCAGGAGGATGGTCCTTTGCCAAAGCTCTGTCAGCAGCTTTCTGGAGAACATTTGGGAAAGGGGTGTGCTGGCCATAGAAAAACTCAACCTTTGTCACCGGGTCTCTGCCTTCTTCCTGCTGTGCTCGCGGTCTCTCTCTTCACCAAAGGGCTTCTTGAATTTCAGCTGTTTTATCAGGTAGCTTGCCAAAGAAGCCAAGTGTTTTCTTTTCATTCTTTCCCTCGTGTTATGTAAACATTCAGATCCTGCCTTTTGCCAAAATTCATGTCCTGGAATCGGATGCTCAGAGCGATGCATAGATTCGAGGACCACTGGGGTACTCAGTGAGTATTTGATGAACGGGGGAGTTAGTAAGGCAGAGCCAGGTAACCCTCAGTGAGTACAGGGGATGCTGGATGGAAGAGAAGGGGAGACATGAAGAAATTAGCCAAAGCAGTCCTGCACCTGAAAAGCCCAAGAGACAGAAGGGAAAAGGATTGGAAAGTCAGAACTAAACGAAGGTAAACTTGTTAGATAATCGTGTCAGGTTAGATACTTGAACTGGATTAGATAAATTTATCTCTGCACTTGCCTCCAAGGGAGATTTGCTTTAGATTTGGATGTGGTAGATCACATTTGGAACAGATTCTGATGGGAAAGGAGGCCTGTTGGGAGATTCATTATTGCTTCTGAATGATAAGGTCAAGGGGAGAAAATCGTGTCAGGTTAGATACTTGAACTGGATTAGATAAATTTATCTCTGCACTTTGCCTCCAAGGGAGATTTGCTTTAGATTTGGATGTGGTAGATCACATTTGGAACAGATTCTGATGGGAAAGGAGGCCTGTTGGGAGATTCATTATTGCTTCTGAATGATAAGGTCAAGGGGAGAAATCACAAGAATGACCCCCTTGTTAAAATGTAGGCACCCGAGCCTTCTCTATTAGTAGCGATACAATAATAATTATAAAAATTTTGAAAACTTTCTATATGCTAGGTACTATACAAGAATTTCATAGAAGTTATTTAAATCTTTCCAACAACTCTATAAGAGTGGTACTATTATGTTGCCTATTTTAAAAGTGGGAAGACTGATATTTAAGAAGGTTAAGTCATTTGCTTAAGGTCACACAACTGATAAATAGCAGAATTAAGGTTGGAACCCAGGTTGTCTGAATCCAAAGCCCATATATCTAACTCACTGCCTCCATTCTCTGAAGAGGAGAAATGTTTAATGGGGAGAAATGTTTAAAGGATAAGTAACTATGAAAAACTTGATCAATATTTCCCAAAGTGCAATCCATGGATATTAATAGATATACTTATATTGGGGGGAAAATAAAATATTGGGGACTAACTATGCTTATGGGACATATTAATCATGCTCTATTAACCATGATTGCCTTGTTCTGGTTAAAGAAAGGACATTCTAGCCTTAGCTGTTTTGGCTCAGTGGATAGAAGGGTCCTGTGGACTGAAGGGTCCTGGGTTCGATTCCAGTCAAGGGCACATACCTAGGTTGCTGGCTTGACCTCCAGTAGGTAACCTGCAAGAAAGAGGCAGCCAATCAATGATTCTCTCTCATCATTGATGTTTCTATCTCTCCCTCTTCCTTCCTCTCTAAAATCAATAAAAATATATTTTTTAAAAAAGAAAGGACATTCTAACTTGGCTGGAAGTTGTATGTCCCCAGGACCTTGGACCTGGGAGTCAACCTTGGACCTAACAATCAACCTTGAAACCATTCTCATTCAAGAACTTCCTATTATCATGGAAAGATTAACAACCTTGTTGCCGAAACGATGGAGTCCCACCCCAGCTTCCCACTTCCCCATATCTGTAATCCCTACTTCCCCATGTAATCTTTGTCTTACCCTATATAAGCAGCTGGATTATGGGGGGCTGCAGAGCAGATTTTAGTGGATGACCTGCTGCTCTCCCATACTGCTGGCAGTATTTGAATAAATCCTCATATATGATTCAACCCTGTCTCTGCTTAATTGGCTCAAGTAGTGACAGGCAGCACGGACCCATTGGTTGTCCGATTACATTACAGAGCAAGCAATGCTGGGTTAGAAAAAGTTATTAAGTTCTGTCACTACCTTCCATTCTCTCAGAGTCTCCAGATGGTATTACACATGCTGTGAATGTCCCAGGCAGTATGTACTATTGAGTAGTTTCTACACTTAGCAGAAACATTTGTCAGTGTGTTTTTTATATCTATTGATATGATAATATGATTTATATTTTTTAATTTTGATAATGTGGTGTATCACAATAGTTGATTTGCAAAGATTGTACTAACTTTGCATCCCAAGAATAAATCCCACTTGATTGTGGCATAGGTCTTCTTTAATATATTATTTAATTTGGCTAATATTTTGTTGAGAATTTTTGCATCAAAGTTCATCAGTGATATTGGCCTATAACTTTCTTTTTTAGTGTCTTTTTCTGGTTTTGGTATATAGTAATGCTAGCCTCATAAAATGAGTTTGGTAGTCATCCCTCTTCAATTTTTTGGAATAGTTTGAGAAGTATAGGTATTAATTGTTGGAATGTTTGGTAAAATTTACCTATGAAGCCATCAGGTCCATGTTATGCCCAGATTTCAGGATCCCCAAGAAACCACACCAGGGAGCCAGCCGTGTCCGATGCAAAAGCATAAGAGTCTTTATTCAAGCCCGGGCTTGGCTCCCCTACCCTCCTTACTGACGCAGCAGCAAGTGGCAGAGAGAGAGCTAGCCCTGTGGGAAGAGGGGTTTTATAGGGGGTTGGAGTAAGGGGAGGAGAAAGGACTGTGGGCCCTGCCGATTGGCCAGGCGCAAGTCGGTGTCTTGTTACACAGGATGTGGTCATATCTATGGTGCGCACTTCCCTTGATTGTCATTGGTTAGTTTAAAGAAGTCCTGGGTGTGGCTAGCAGAGGCTTGGGCTTCCGGGAAGAAGCCTTGCCGAGCACATGGCTGCCCAAAAATGGAGGATCCAGGGTAAGATGGAGGGCATAGCCTTTACCCTGGGGCAAGATGGAGGGTGTAGTCCTTGCCCTTTCAGTCCATAATTTTGTTTTTTGGAGGGTTTTTTTGGTTACCAGTTCCATTTCATTAATAGTTATGTGGATGAAAGGGGCCACATGCTAACCTGACAAGCTCAGGGAAGGCTTGCATGGCAATCTTGCAAACTCAAAAGACCTAAAGCAACCGCAAAGGATGGTCTGACATTAAACTTTAACTAAAGTACTTATGGTTGCTAGTCATCTCCTAGGCTTTAATCTTCCCTGACAAGGTTAATCTTTACCTTAACTGAGCTTATTGTCTTTTTGCATGTATGATAACATATCATTGAACTGTCAGGGTAACAACTTCCCTCCCCCCCCCCCCCCCCCCCCCCCCCCCCCCTTGTTATCATGTTGATTGTTGACTGTTAACTATCCTGTACCCACCTAAGTAAAAGAAGTATATATCTTATCATTTTACTCTTTATCCAATCCCAGAGGTTTCCTCGCTTTGCTTTATCCTGCCTCTCTAATCTATCACCAATTGATTTCATGTAACCCACTTACATCTCCTCCTTTGATTGCAATGTATAAAAATAGATGAAAAACGCCATTCTCTGAAGCATTATTCCAATCCGTTGAGATTCTGCTTCCCAGCAATTATCAACAGTTTGACTCAAATAAACTCACAAAAATTCTTTATAGGTTTGAATGTTTTTACGTTACCAGTTATAAGTTTGTTCTGATTTTTTGTTTCTTCCTAATTCAGCCTTGGAAGATTCTATGTTTCTAGGAATTTATTCATTTTTTCCAGGATGTCTAATTTGTTGGTGTATAATTGTAGTGTTTCCTTATAATGCTTTGCATTCCTTTGGTGTCAGTTGTTATATTTCCTCTTTCATTTCTGATTTATTTATTTGGGCCCTCCCTCTTTTTTTCTTGTTGAGTCTGTATAGGCTTACCAATTGTGTTTACTCAAAGAACCAGCTCTTGGTTTCATTGATTGTTTCGATTGTTTTTTTTTTCTTTTTTAGACTCTAATTTATTTAAGTGTAAGTTTAGATTGTTTTCTTGAGATTTTTCTAGATTCTTAAGGTAGGCTGGTAATGTTATGAATTGCACTCTTAGAACTGCTCTGGCTGAATCCCATAGAGTTTGGATTATTGTGTTTTTATTTTCATTTGTCTCAAGGTATCCTTTGATTTCTTTCTTGATCTTGTTGCTTACCCATTGGTTAGTAGTAAATTATTTAGCTTCCACATGTTTGTGCATTTTTCAGTTTTCTTGTAATTGATTTCTAGTTTCATATGATTGTGATCAGAAAAGATGCTTTATATGATTTGTCTTCTTAAATTTATTGAGACTTGTTTTGTGGCCTAACATGCAGTCTATCCTTGAAAATGTTTTATGTGCACTTGAAAATGATGTATATCTGCTACTTTTGGGTGATATGTCCTAAAAGATCAATTAAGTTCCTGTGGTCTAAATGTGTTATTTAAGGCCCTTGTTGCCTTGCTGATTTTCTGTCTGGATGATCTATCCATTGATATCATCCAGTGATACTGGAGTCATACTGTGACTCCATTACTGTCCTTCCCTCCCTTTATGGCCGTCATAATTTGCTTTATATATTTAGGTGCTCCCATGTTGGGTGCATAAATGTGCATGATATTTATATCCTCTTGTTTAATTTATTCCTTTATCATTTTGAAATGCCATTCTTTGTCTCTTGTTGGAGCCTTTGTTTTAAAGTCTATTTTGTTTGATATAAATATTGCTACCTCAGCTTTTTTTCCCTTTCAATTTGCATGAAATCTCTTTTTCAAGCCCTTTACTTTCAGTCTGTGTGTCTTTTGATCTGAAGTGGGTCTCTTGTAGGCAACAGATGTTCAAGTCTTGTTTTCGTTGCCCATTCAACCACCTTATGTCTTTTTGTTGTTGTTGTTAATCCTCACCTGAGGATATTTTTCCACTGATTTTCAGAG